TTCGTCCGCCCTGCCGCCGCCTGTCCCGCCCCTGGCCGCCCCGCCCCGCCCGGCTGAAGTAAGTGCCGCTGCCCGCGGCCGCGGTCCTAGTCGCTCCTGCCGCCACCATGACGGACCGCTCCACCTTCGACACCAATGTCATCACCATGACCCGCTTCGTGATGGAGGAAGGCAGGCGGGCCAAGGGCACCGGGGAGTTCACGCAGCTCCTCAACTCCCTCTGCACGGCCATCAAAGCCATCTCCACCGCCGTCCGTAAAGCGGGCATTGCCAACCTGTGAGTCCCGGGATGCTCCCCGCACCGTCCCGCATCCCCGCGGGTCCAGGGCATCCTGCTGCCTCCCGGGGGGGGGTGGGTATCGGGACGAGGATGGGAATGGGTGTTTCTTTCACCAGAAAAGCCTGTGAGTGAGGCTGCATCAGCCCATCCTCTTGCACAGAACTGAAGGTAACTCCTTTACTAACTTGTTGGTTTCTTGATTTTTCTCAAGAGACACGGGTCCTATGACTTTTCAATAGTCTAGTCTTTGAGAAATGTCTGGTGACAGTAGAACTTCATGAATACATTCTAGCAGGTGTGGGCGCCTGGAGCCGTAAGACCAAATATTCTGAAAGACAAAGCTTAGCAAAATATGGCTGAATTACTGCTCTTTGCATATTGCTTTATATCAAAGCACCATTTTATGCTTTGAAGTGTTGAATCAAATTCAGTGTGGGTTTTCTCATAGCGCATTGTAGCAACTAGAGTTTCTCTATGAAATTTTTGATATCTAAGGCTTTTAGAAAGTGCACTGTTTAGGATCAATAGTGTCTGTAGTCAGCTGTTCAGAGGGGTGTTGTTCTGGTCATCATCATAAGGAATCTGGAACTCTTGAAACGTGAAATAGCTGAAACTGCTTAGGGGTAACTGATCCTCCTAAGTATTTTACATATTCTTCATATGCCCAGTAGTGTGCTGGTCAAGGCTTTAGACATGGGCTACTTCATTCCTTAATGGAAGATGTTGTAAAGAGAAAATAAATTTGCTTCTACAAGCCATGCAGAGGAAAATATAAGATGAAAAAAGGCAAAAAATCCTCCACTTTATGTATGTTTGAACTATTTTTCTGTTTTAACTTCAGACTACATGTAATTGTGGTAATTTTTGTGCTAGCCCTTCCATATGCCTCCTGTACCTATCAATAGAGACCAGGGTTTCCCAGCTGTGATCTGATTTGTAAGCTTAAGACCCTATTCCTTTTGTGTCTTACATGTGTGTCTGTTGGTAGCTGACCACATGTTGGGTATCTGTGCGCATAGACTCGCCTTATGATCCCCTGCACAGTGGGTTTAACTCTCCATCAGTGCTGGGGCAGCAGGCTTTGGACTCATAACTATGTGCTTAATGCTGCTTGGTAGGGGAGGTGCTATGGAAGACACACAGACCCTTTCCAGCTGCAGGCTCTACACCTGACACCTTGTCTTCCCCTCCCAGGAATTCCCCAAAAGATGAGGTGCAGAAGCTGGTCTGTTGCTGTGCCTCCACTCATAAGCACAGCGTTCAAAGTACATTTTTTTCTAAAAGCGCTTTCACAGTTGTGGAAAAATATTCAAGTCACTGAATCAGAGAGAGAGAAGAACAGAGAGTTATGCCAGGTCATTTTTTTGTCTCATGCATTAAACTGAAGAAATGCAATGCATTGCTAAAATAGTGTGTTCAGTGTTATTGCATAAAACCTGAAATACCAGTGTTCAGCCTAATCAATGAACTGTAGCTGAAGTTACAGTTACATAAGAAACTTCTGAATGTGTGCCGAGCCGGCTACTGTTTTTCTCTTCTAAGAGCTAAACTTCCCCTTTCTCTGTTATGTGTGCTTACAAAATCACCTATCATAAGATCTCCTGGTATTTCCGTATGCCAGATGGTTTGATTCCGGTTGGCTTGCAGCATTTTATTTCTGTTTCTTATTTGTACTTTTCAGTTCTTTTCCCAAGGAAATGTTTACTACTTCAAATCAAAGCTGAAAATATTAAACCATAAATAGGTTGATTTGTCTGTGAAAAGACTTTTCCTGCTGCAATTTGCACATCATATTGCTAAAGAGGAGTATATTACATGCAGAGGATATAGCATAACTAGTGTTGTCAGATTAATATATATACATTCACATATATTTATATCAATTTTAGAGCATAAAATTTTCTAATGAATTCTTAGCTTTTAGGGTATGCAGAGCCTAGAATTCAGGAATAATATGTAGGTCTTAAGAGCTCATTAAAAAGCACAGTTGGTAACTCAGCCTTCACAGCCTGGTCTAGCTGTGTTTAACTATAGTTTACAAACTATTGAAATTGTATTTCTCAGCAGCCTCTAGATATGCAAACACAGCTAATGGTAACATGTCTCAGCAAGAATTCACTGGGCAGTAAATAAAAAACCGGCTTAGAGAGATGAGATGTCATTTGAAAGTGCTGTTGTTTACAGGAGGTTTTGCAGCTCTATTCTCATGAAATGTTCTCTCTTGCAATTGCTCTAGCTATGGAATTGCTGGGTCTACCAATGTGACCGGAGACCAAGTTAAAAAGCTGGATATTCTATCCAATGACCTGGTGATTAACATGCTGAAGTCATCCTTCAGTACATGTGTTATCGTGTCTGAAGAAAACAAAGATGCTGTGATAGTGGAAACTGAAAAACAGGTTAGTGACTTGAAAAGTTCTCCCTGCTTGATTTCAGATCAGCCTTTACAGGTGTACTGCTCCACATCTGAAAGAGTAAAACTCAGCTAAAAGTTTCAGAAAACAGGTAAACTAAACTGGCAAGTGAATGGGTGGAGAGAGTGTTCATCAGCATTTGTTCTTTCTGTCATTTCTGCTCTCCAGACTAATGTTTGTTGGTTTTATTTTTATTTTTTTTATCTGTTTTTCCTCCCCACCTTCTTTCTCTCCCACTTTTTTTCTTATTGTGGAGAAAACATTTCATTCATCCCCATCTGATCTCTGGAATTATGCTCTGAGTCAGTCAAGCTCCTTTGAAATGTTACTTTTTGAGTAGAACACTGATGAGTTATTCTCATGAGTTATTCCAGGTCAAATCTCAAGGCCTTTAATTCATGAAAATTCTCCTTGAATGACTTAGTCTATGAATGACTTAACAATAATGAAACAAAAACATTTTTTACATTTATTATCCTTTATATTCACAAGCCTGCATGTGCTTCTTTTGGGATAGTCCCTATTTCCCAGCTAATATTTTGGTCTGATCATGTAAAAACTCTAAGTAAAAATTTAGTAAAAATGAACAGCAATAACATAATTTACAAAGTATAATAAGGTTTGCTTTGTTTAAGCAGTTCTCTCTCTCCCTGTTGAGAAATCTTCAAAGTTAATTTTCTAGGCATTGGATTTCCTTAGATCTGAACAAATATTCTCAAAGATCACTGAGGGAGTCTGAGTATTAATGCTTTTCTGAACTAAATATGAGCTAATACAGTGTTTTTATCAATGCATACCAGGGATTCCTACTTGCATAGTAGAGCATTGCTGAACTTAAATTTGTGACATGCAGGATAAAACCAATTTAAAAAAAATGTCAATGTTGTTACACACTATTATTAAGACAGCTATGAATAAAATGATGGGGGAACAAAATATTTAAAAGGTACAGTTAATTCAGCTTTTCCCCCTGTACTGTCAATTTCCTATATCTACAGGATTCCTTAATCCAGCAATAAGGCAGAGACTTCTTTTCTGACCCCCCAAAACCCTGGGTAAGATCAGTCTGGCTAAGGTAGTACCTGATCATTTCAGAGCACAGATAAAGGAAAAGGTATAGTTTAGGATGGCAGCCATTAAAGAGCTTTTTAATACCTCTATAGGAAGAGGTAAAATATAGTTTTTAGCTCTACATGAAAAAGGCTGATCTTCATTTTATTTTTTTTTCCTTATTATTCAGTAAGACAAGTTGTAACCAAAGAGAAAGTGCAGCCTAGCCTAGATGGTGGATATAAGAGGATCTACTTCAATTACCCAGATGAAACTAAACCAAAAAAAGTACTCCCCCATTTTTAACTCATATTAAAATGTATATGAGAAAACTCCACTTTTCCTGTACATCTGCTATGTACTTTAAAGATTTTTTAGCTTCTGGTTTGGCACAAATCACAGTTGTAATCAAGAATGAAATCTGGGCCAAAGAATTGCTGACATTTGAATTTGGTTCCTTCATAATCTATAAAGGTGTTTTGGTTTATATTGCTGTGTAAGTCTCTGAGAAAATTTACCTACTGAAATGTTTTTACTTGGAAAAACTGGATGAATACTGTCACTAATCTAGTTCCCTCTTTTGTGTTTTCTAGGGTAAATACATAGTCTGCATAGACCCTCTAGATGGTTCATCGAACATCGACTGTCTTGTTTCTATTGGGACCATCTTTGCAATTTATAGAAAGGTAAAATTCTTTCATGTAGAATAGGAAAAACTATTATTGTGCAGCTTTTGGTGAAATAAAATTGCGTGGGAAGACCAAAATCTAACTAAACTTGTTTGTGAAAAAGACTCAGGGCCAGCTTTAAGTTAGATCTAGTATTTCACAGACACATGGATTTGAATTTGAAATAGTTAGGATTTGAATTAGCCTCTTAGAAGAAGAATACATATACATATGTGTATATGGAAGCCTAGCTGATACTTAATTAGCCAGCTAGTGAAATTACCCCTTGGAAAAGATCATGTCCTACATTTCATGAATATTTGTGTTGAGGCAAAATACCATGTGGTTGTCATCTACTTGGGGAATGTGCTTTCCAGTTTTCTTGCTCTCTGTACTAATAGTCCTGTTGGCCTGAGGACATACTTCAAAAACAAACCAGAGCTGAAACATGTCATGTGCATTTGAAGTGTCTAATTCACTCTGAAAGGCAGAAACCCTGTCTGAAGGAGGTTGAAATACCAGACTTGCAGGTCACAACATGGGGGGAAAAAGTAAATCAGATAAAACACAACCAACTGTCCATTTTAATAATATTTTGTATCTTGTCATATATCCCAAAGTAGCTATTTTCAACTTCATTTTTGTGGGAAGCAAAAGAAAACAAAAAACTTCCCAAATACTTCTGATCGGCTTTGAACTCTGAGAGTCATGTTTCATTTAATTTCAACTGTGCCTCTGAGTTTTCCTCTGAGCTGTGTTCATCATCACCTACAAGGAGGTACATAGCTCTTTAATATCTCCTTAATCCTTTCCTGCTTCCTGCATTCCTGCTAGGCATAGTTAGAAGAGCATTTCTAAATCAATGTGTTTGTATCCTATATATAATTTGTATTAGTGCATCCGGTAAAAATCTCAGTTGGGGATCATGGAAACAGTTGTGCCACCTCATGCGTGGATATGAGCAGAAGACTGTCCCTATCCCAGAGTCCAGTCATGTACCAGCAATAGAAATGAAATGAAATTGACTATACTCTCTCTTGTTCTAGGTGTCCCCCGATGAACCTTCTGGGAAAGATGCTTTACAGCCTGGGCGTAATCTTGTGGCAGCTGGTTATGCGCTCTATGGAGGTGTCAACTGTTTCATGCTGGATCCGGTGAGAATATCTTCTGTTTCTTTGCTTCTGTGTTAGGGATTACCAGGTACTGTCTATAAGAACTGTTCATCCCCGGGAAAATCAACCAATGGAGCAGTTTTCAAGGTAAATGAAGGAATGAAGTATAAATGTACTTACAACCCACCAGCAATAATGTCAAGAGACTTGCATTCTGCCTGCCTGATGCAGCAGTGCTGTGTGTGACTCAACAACAGGAAGACAGCCAAGTCAGCAGAGCAAATACACAGCATGTGTAATCATGTGATATTTAAAATGAGCAGTTTTCTGCAGTACAAAATATCCTTTAAGTCTTATTTGTCTCTTCCTTAATTGCTAAGACCTTAGTAAACCAGAAGAGCATATGTACTTAACCTTCTTCTGTGTTTTCAGATCCCACCATGATGTGTAAAAGAGTAAGTGATGTGTGTGGCTGATGTGACATTCTAGCATGCATTTACCATGAGTTTTAAAACAGAAGTCATATTGATCACAGCAGAAAGTAGTTTGCTTTAGTGGCTTGTTTCTTTGTGATCAGTCAGGGTGTGCCATTTGCCAGTCTTAAATTTTTATAACCTGCAGTGATCAAGCTGCAGGAAATATAACTTGGTACTCGCTGATTAGTAGCAGCTTAAATAAATGCATGTATTTTTTACTTTATTCATGTAACAGATTTAACTTCGAGCATGCATGCATGTTATTTTGTTTACTCTTAGCACTAACTTGGAAATCTACTTCAGAGAAAACTAAACAGGCCAGCTCTTGGTCACAGGCTTCCAGTTAGCCCAAGCTAAAAAGAGCTGGAGTATCTGCAGCTATTTGAGGCTATTTGTGCATTGTTTCAACCAGTACTCTCAAACTCCTTAGCGTTCTGAGACTTACATTGTTGTAAGTTTATCAAAAGAGTGGAGAGATAAATGAGATAAACAAATGTAAAATAGCATTTTTTGAGCATAGAAAATAGAGTGCTTGGAATTGTAGTACGAGGAAGCCTGCATGACATCAGAGCATGACAGCTCTGTCTGTGCTTCATAGTGAAACAAAATACCTTGCATGTAGACTGCAAAGACTATGTTTTTGTAGATTCTGAATTATTTTAAAAATTGATAGTGGTAGTAAGTTTTTGTTAAATTGTGGATGTTATTGGATTTTACCTTGGTTTGGAAATAAGTGAACAATTCCTGTAAACTAATACTTTTTCTTTCTTATTGTTAGGCAATTGGAGAATTCATTCTAGTGGAAAGAGATGTGAAAATCAAAAAGAAGGGAAATATCTACAGTCTCAATGAAGGCTATGCTAAATATTTTGATCCTGCTGTCACAGAGTACCTCAAAAAGAAGAAATTCCCTGAGGTAAAAGATCCTGTTTCAGAGAAACTTTCTGACGACAAGCAATATTCTTGATTTCCAGATTTATGATCAATCATTCTCTCATTAACTGTTCAGGGCTCCCTTTCCTGTCTATTTAAAATATAACTTGATGTAGGATTGCTAATGAGAGCAGCAATTGATGTAACCAGATATTTCAGCATTCTCCAGTACTGCACCGTGTATCTTTCACATTTTTTTACTTTCTTCCTTTTTTTTTTTTGAATCTTTTTTTCCCTGAATGAGGGCCTGAGTAATGGTGCTGAAGCCAATACTGAGCATTTGATAATCAAGTAGAGAAGAAATCTTTTCTGATGATGAAGAAATCTGATCTACATGTGTTGTATTACTGCTTCCTCATTGCAACATCTGAGTAGCTGGAGAGTGGAGTGGAGATGGCAGTGGGTCATTGCTCAGTGGTAACACGAGCTAGGGGTGTGCTAGGGGTGCCTTTCTCTTGGAAATCTGGTGTAGTTTCAAGGCCTGCTTTGTGGTTGTGCAACTTCCTGGTGTCAGGAGGTCCAAAGCTACAAGGAGTGCCCGTGAAAGGTTCTCATGCCTTACGCATTTCATCACTGAAGTTACTTCACTGGCAATGAAAGGTGAACACCTACTACTGTTAAGTGGTGGTGTCCCTTCCTGACTTCCTGATCTTGCTTTGAAAGAACATTGATGTTTTCATCATTCTTCAATCAAGGTGTGGTTTATGTAGATATTAAAATGTACTCCATGGAGTAGAATAAGGAAATAACATCAAGTCAACTATTAACTTTTTTTAACAAAAAAAATTGCAGAAGCTGGCAAGAATGGTTGGAAGAAGTAGGAAAGATCACTTCTTTTTGATTTTTTTTGATTCTTTTTCTGCTAGAAAAGACAAAGCTCCGATACCAATTCCTAGCACTTGAGTTTTTGCTACTGGAAATGCAGTGTTTTCTGAGTGTTAAAGCCAGTGGACAGGTGGGATACATTTTCTGTTATTGGCACTACTGCTCATCTATGCTGAAGTCTTCTATATCACTCTTTTTCCTTGGATTTTCCTAGTTAGAAAATGAAGGTGATGCTGACATAGTCTCCAAAACTACTTTGAGTATTATAAGTGAAGCCAAATACGGAGATGAAAGATGTTAGGACTGCTAAGGGGGCATGTGGGGGAGGTTAACCTGGTGTGCTCCACAGCTACTTTTATTGGAATGTTTCTCTGTAGGATGGCAGTTCACCGTACGGTGGGAGGTACATAGGATCTATGGTGGCCGATGTGCATCGCACACTGGTGTATGGAGGAATCTTTCTGTATCCTGCTAACTCCAAAAGTCCCAAAGGAAAGGTAAGCCTAAATAAGCCCAGTTATAGAAAATACTGCATTATGCAAACATTTCACTATCAAGATCAGTATTTTGATTACAAAGCTTGTGTTTTGTAACTTGGTAGCTTGTATTTCTTGTGTGGGGGGACATGGCCATCCCTTGCAGGCTGTCACAAGTGGCAGCAGTATGTTGTCAGACACCCATTTTAGGGCTGCTGCTCACCTGTTTCAACTGCAGTGACTTCTCCTCATGTGCAAACGTATCCAGCTTGTGGAATGTACCTGGGGGTGGGCTGCTCAAACAGGCTCCCCTGCACCATGTCAGCCAAAACTGGTAATGCTGCTCCCATTTGAGTAGAATATGACAGGGTAAACAATCTGCATTACCCTGAGATTTCTAGAAGCTCGTTTGTAAGAAGCTGAAATGTAGTTGGCCCATTGGGTCAGTTCTGCCAAAGAGAACACCATCTGCATTTTGTACATGATAACAAGACTTCACGTGGAGGAATTGTGCCTGGCTGCATCTGCAGGACAGTTGTCAGTCAGGGAAAATCACGCACTTAGAGGCTGACACGGGGACTTTATTCAGCAAAGACCTTTGACCTGTTTTGTAATTCTCTGTAAAATATTGCTTCAGGTTGCAGATAAGATACAGTTATTCATTAGAGAAACCTAGTGCCACGCTCAGAGCTCGTGTTTTTCATTATTTTCACACAGTCCTATATGGTCTTCCTTGTGAACAGTTGTGTCTTAACATACAAGCTTTATCTCTCTGTAAATAGCACAATGCAAACATGGGCTATGTAGAAAGCACTCAGATTGAGCAAATCCAGAAGTCACCGTGTTTTTAAAAGAAAAATCCACACACCTTCATTATTGAGTCAGTGTTTATATGAAATAAAGAGTACTTTGAATATTGATTGGCTTAAGATCATATGCCAATCATTTAATGATTTTTGGTATTGCCTGGCCTGACTTCTGCCATTCTGACTTTTGTCTTCTAGCTGAGACTGCTCTACGAATGCAATCCTATGGCCTTTGTTATTGAGAAGGCTGGGGGAATAGCAACAACTGGTCAGCAAGCAGTACTAGATATAGTGCCTGAGGATATCCACCAAAGAGTGCCTGTTGTCTTGGGGTCTCCTGATGATGTGAAGGAGTACCTTGAGATAGTCAAGAAGCATTCAACTAAGTAAAGAAAGCTTGTTGGATTCACTGTGCACAGGGGATAAAATGTCTTACAGCCGAACCAAAGAATGCGCTGCAGTACTGTGAGATTGAGCTGTCTGACTTCTGTAGCAAAAGAGCAAATGAGCCATATTTTCATAAGATTTTTTTAAAGCTAAATCTTGTGCAATTGCATTGTGCAATTGAAAGGCATTAAATGAAAGGCATTAAAAGATTGCATTAAATGAAGCATTAAAAATTAAAGCAATGGAAAAATATGTTTTCTTTTTCATTTATTATTTCTGGTTATGGAACAGCCACATGTGCAGCAAGTATTACTGTGTTGCAGTTAATATCTAGAAGGGGAGAGACTCACCTTTCTCAGACAAGTTACAGACTATTAGTACAGTTGACTCTGTCCTCTTTTAAGTCTTGGGAAGACTCAGCAGCCTCTTACAGTGAGTGACCTTTCCTAGACCAGTGTCTGAACTCCCAAAGTTGCTCACTGTACTTTGGTCTGGGTTTACTCTGATGGAGAATTCATGTTTGTGAAACATAGGTATTAGTGTATGTTAATTCTGACACATGATGTTAATACTGCTGGTTGCCACTCTATCAGATCCAGCTACACAAGGATGGAAAATGACACGTTTGTGTGGAGGGGTTTTAATGGGATAGAGTATGTGTAGACAGCTCGTACATACACAGATTCTGCTGTGATGAGCTGGCTATCTTTGCCAAAAATTAACCTGCTTACTTGATGAAAACATGAATTTGTGTCTTGCTATCAATCTCCACCAGAGATTCTTTGTGTTATTTTGGGGTTGGGGATTACCCCATGGAAAAGGATTCTGCTGTGCAAGCAGGAGGAAGGTGCAAAGAGTCCCCCAAAGCATAATGACATCTGATATGCTCATTCAGATCATGCTGCTGGGAAGAGTGTGCTAGTGCTTGGGAGCTAGATGGGCTGTCCACCACTGTCTGGATACAGCTCTTGAATTAATTAAAATCAGCAAATCTTTGCTATTTCTCACTGCCCACTTACCTTCACCAAACTCAAAGTAAGGATCACATGGATGTGCTGTGGGTAAACTACCACTGAACACTGAACTCAGTTCATGGTCTGGGAGGTCCTGTCTAGGAGTGCCTGCCTACTTGGGGACTTTATATATATCAGTGCAGAGAGCCTGACTGAGTGTGGTTCTTCGTGTAAAACAAGAGAGAAGTATGGGGAAACTGAAATCCAGGGTGGAAGGGCATGCTCTGTGAGGGCCCTTTTATCTGTATCAGACAGATAAAAACCTGAGGACCCTCATTCTAAAAGGTCATGCAGGGGCATTTGGAGGCATACTGACAGTTCTATACATGCATCTGTTCCCCAAATTGGTGTGGGGCAAGATGTTTCTGTCAGGGACTGAATGGCCTAGTTTCTGCTGAAAATGTTAATTCTGATGAGGCTAGTGGAGATGACTTTCAGTGACCTGAACCATTAAAAGACTGTGAGAGTGCTGGCAGTAGTCAATTTGGACTACAGTGCCTCAGTGGTCTGTTAGTATGGCTCAGCAGACAGAATCCACAGCAGGGATTTTTGCCTGTTTACCATAATTCCTTGTCTGTATTCTGCCATCTAGCTTTACAGGAATCCTGGACTGCATATATCTATTTTTAATACACCATGCTGACAGCATGTAAAGGTTATAGGAGGAAAGTTAATGCTGTCCATGTTCCTAGGTCAGTTCTCAGTGTTTTGGTTTTGCCTGTAGGCTGACATTTCATACTCAGCATTTTACCCATTGTGAGCTGGTTTTATCTTCTAATCAGTAATATGTAAGCCCACATTTGAGCAACATCTCTGGCTAGCCACCAGTGGGGAGAACTACTTAGCAATCTCCTTTGACAGCCCCCTTTCCAGAGGTCTCCCTGCCTGTCAGTGCAGAGCAGGAAGGTGGGTTTGTCACCGTGTCTGCTGTCAGCCCCTCTCTCAGTTCTACCCAGTGCCCTCCTCAGAGGCTGCACTGTGGCCTTTGGTGAAAGGTCACTGGCTCCAGTTTCAGCTGGCGCCATCCAAGCGACTAACATTTCATCTCAGTTAGAAAAGCTGTCACCTTTAAGGCTCAGGACTGGCTCATACACAAGTGGAAGTGTGAATAATCCCCGAGGACTCTTTATATTAGGGGGAAAACCTCCCAGATCAGTCAAATTGAGGTGCTTATTTTTTTAACCTTCCTAAGCTATTCCAACCCATAGTACTGAGAGGTTCTCAGGCTTATAGACAGTCATCACATATTTTTTACACAATCTGACTTCCCTCCACCTCCCTCAAATGGTAATTATTTATGTAGCCTAATCATTCTGTATAATCATTTGGGTTATTACATTTCAGTGAGATCACACCATTACTTATAAAACACATTTGCAGATTTTCCAAAAAAAAAAAAAAAAAAGAAAAAAAAAGGAAAAAAGAAAAGGAAAAAATATAAAAGAGGAAAATAGTGGACTTATTAGCTCTGAAAACACTCTTTGAACCACTAACTCCAAAACAAACTTTCTGTTAGAAGATGATCTGAACTTTGTCTTTTTGACCAGTGCAAAAGATCACTTGTTGGAATAAACAGAAGACCTGCATGTGATGTTTTGACAGAAGTTAGAAATTATAGGCCAGCCCCCATCCCATTTCTTATTTGCTGAATTGATTTGGTATGTTTATGGTATTCCAGCTACACTGCAGAGAGATTTTGCACTAAAAGCATGTTAGTATGGGCAGGCTGACAGCTGCAATGATGATGAAATGATGCGCAGGCAAAATATAATTGTTGTGCTTTAAGCCAGCAGATATTTTTGCATGAATAACTGAAACCTGTCCCCTTCTTTTATTGATCCTACCATGTGCTATCCCAAAGCTTCCTACATACATTATTTTTGGTTTTCTACAAGTCTGTTCAAAAGAAGAAAGTCTCCTAACCAGGCAGAACATGCTGTGTAACGTTTGTCTTGTGATGTGAACAGTATCCTATACCTTTAACTATAATCACTGTAGTAGGAAAGAGAAATCTTCAAGATTTCTTTGTTCTTCAGTCATTGCCTTAGAGGATGTAGTACCTGCCTGAGGCTCCATCTGATCAACTCCACTCACTAGTCCTTTCTCTGTCTTGGAACAGGACTGCAAAAACATCCCCAAATCTAAGCACAGGGGATGGAAGCAGCACTGAACTCTCTACTTGTGGCTAGCTTTCAGAGTCGTCAATCTCTAGAACTCCTTTTAGTGGCTGATTTCAAAGTAGAAAACCTTAGCATTGAAATCCCTTTAAAACTCTACAAGTAATGTATTTTTCATAGATGAAGAGACACTTCCAGGAAAGTCTGAAGAAATGCTAAAGATTAAAAAAGGAGCACCAAGGGAAATCAAAACTTTTTTGCTTCAGCTGCAAAACTGAACTGCTGCTTCAGTTCCTATTAACAAAAACACATTAGGTATATGTTTTGTTACTGAATTTTGTTTCCATCTTCCTGGCAAGATTTTAGTGCAGTAATTTGAGTGAAAGGAATAACAATGAAACTTAATAAAACTTTCCTTCTGTTACTCCAGATTTTCTTGTTTTGCTGGTGGGCTTTCCATATCTTCTACTTAAAAATAAGAGCGATGCTAATAAGTAAAATGAAGGCTACAGCATACAACTTCATATAGTTTCTCTTACTGTCTAGTCAGAATGGGAAGTGTAATTAAGATCCATAACTTGAGTGTTCCAGATAGCATGTATCCAATGCACAATCTAATACATTACTTGGAGAGTGTCTACCTTCACATTGTCATCATGTGCTCCAAGGATATTGTTTGTAAGGAGCTACTGGCAGCATAATTGCAAATATGGACATTCCTGTATTTACATGGTGTACTACAATATGAAAGCAAACATAAAATCTCATTTTGTGAGTTATGGCATTGACATGCTTAAATCAGAGGAGCCTTACTTGTAAATTATTTAAGACATAATTACTTTGTAACTAGTCAAGCCACAGCTAACCAATACTTATTCAAGTACTGTAATATTACAAACAACCCAGGCCAGGAATGAAATCATTAAAATGGATTTTAGCAACATAAAACACTTTAACAAATGCATGTCTAGATGCACCCCTTCAAAACCTTCCTTCAGGGTGAAGGCCAAAAGAGTGAAAAACTGGGCTTTTGGGAAGTTCCCTGTCTGGCATCGCAGTGCTGTGGGATGCTGGCACATATGGTTACTGGTTATGGTTACTGGTGCCTGGTGCCTTCATTTCTGGTGCCTTGTAAACATAGCCTTGGCTCTGCTGAGCCCATTGCTGAGCAGGATCTACAGGAAAGCCATTTCCAAGAACGCAGCCAGCCCGAGTTTTGCATTATAATCAGACCAATGTACAGTCAGAGTATGTAACTAGATCTGCACAGAGCTAATTTCAGTGTGTGGGGGGACCAGACGGGCAGTAGTTGCTCAGCTGTAGTCCTGTCTCAGGCTTCTTTCCTGCATCCCAGTGGGGCCATGGAGCCAGCCTGGGGTGCAGTTATTCTGAGCACTCAATCACATGGTCTCAGAAACATCTTAATAAATTCTGACCAGCAACACTGCCAAACACAGCTTTGCCTCAAAACAAAACAGCTACCCAGGATCTCAACACAGCAAGACAGCACCTTGTCCAGCCAAGAAGACAGGAACTCTGGTACCCAGCAAAAATGACTGACAAAAGCCCCTTCGAAACGGATATGCTGACGCTCACGCGATTTGTTATGGAGAAGGGACGCCGCGTAAAAGGAGCGACGGGGGAGCTGACACAGCTGCTCAACTCCATGCTGACTGCCATAAAGGCCATTTCCTCTGCTGTCAGAAAGGCAGGCCTTGCCCACATGTGAGTCCTACCTTGCACTACAGGGAGGAAGAGAAGGCAGAGAGACAGCTACTTGCATAGCAAGGCTGGGGGGTGGGCAGGGATTCATAAATACCTTGGAAGTGTCCTTTTTAAGCTGAGTAAGGTTAGAGATTCAATGCACTGCTCACCTTGTTATCTCTTGTACTTGTTGATGCTGATCTATTTTTGAATCTACTGTGAATTTGCTGAAAATAGCACCATGATATTTTGAATGCAGAATATCTCATTGTGATATATTCTGCTAACATCCAAGCCCTCTGCTGAACTGTGCAAATCAGAGCTTGGCTTACCTCAGGAAGCTAATTTTCTACCTGTCTCCTGTATAAGCAATGCTCTAAAGCAACAGCCATGCAAGGAACTGCATATGCTGCCATACCGGGATGCATTTCTCTTTCCTTCCTCAAGCAGTATCCCACAGGCAGGGAGTCTCAAAAGGCCCTGCAGGAAAAACAAATATAACAATTTGGCATCTAGTGCTTTCACAGATGGAATAAAAAGTGGCCTTAGCAAAACTTGGAATGTACTGAGCTGTTCCACACGGACAAGTGCAATAGACATCAGTTTAAGTCTTTTAATGGTGATATAACTGAAGGAGTTCAGAGATATGGAACACCCTAATAAAACTGTGTGTTTAAAATAGAAAATTCTTGATATATATTAAAAGATATTTTTCTGAACACACCTCAGTATGTACTTACAGCTGCATGCATGAAAGGGACCAGGAATACATTTGAGAAAGAAAGTTAACATTATAATTCGTTCAGGGTTTGTTGTTTTTTTTTTTCTTCCACAGAAACACCAAAATGTGTGATACACACATTTTGTATCACAAGGGGTTGGGGTGGGGGGGTGGAATTTTGTGCTTCTGTTGATTATTTGGTCCAAGTCCTCAATCATTGTGGCAAATCATGAATTCAATGTCTCAGAACTATTACCCTCACTTTATAGGACCATAGTGCCTAGAGAGGACATGAAACATACTCAAAGTGAACCACAGTATCAAGCTCCTATGCCCTTACTCTTGAACTATACTTTGTTTCTGTCCTTACTAGGTGAAATTGAGCTATTTTGCCTCCTTGACTTAAAGGAACAGCTGTTTTCACATAATTTTCATCTTTATAGAGGCTATCTCTGAAATAGCTTGTAACAGCAGAAAAACAATTTGATATGCTACAGGTAGAATAACATCTAATTATGATAATCCTTCTTTGCCTTCAAAAAAAAACCCCAAACCATCCATTACATTAAGGAGCAAATATTTCTTTTTACAAACAAAAAGCTTCAGATGTTGACTCAGAAATATCTAAAGTATCCAAACATACAAATGAGTAACTTGCACCATTCAAATTACTGAAACTAGCCATGAAATTTCAGGAATTTCCATGGCAAACTATCAACCACTGTGAAAGTGGCTTGCATCCATCTGCATTTGTGCAGTTAATGAGCACTGACTTTTCTTGCCCCTCCAAATAGGAGACTATATGTTTCTTCTTTAATGTTAAAGCACTAAGCTAGAATTTTTGAAAAATTTTCAATTCAAAAGTGAAGGAGAACTTTTTCCAAGTCATAGGCCTAAGCTGTGATTGTGACTGAAAACACACTGGCTGGAGAGTAGGTACTTTACCAATGAAAATCATGGTCCTTTAAAAAATCTTAAATTTGACACCCAACAATAAAATGTCCCAAACACTCAGTACTTATGAAAAGCAAAGACAGGCATCTTTGAGCTTTGAGTAAAAATACCTACTTTACTCCCAGCTCAGGCCTGCCACTGGCCAATTTCATTCTAGGGACTAATTATTGTTTCTTTTTCCTTCTCTTTCCCCCACTTGCCTCTGCGCCCCCCGCACCCTCCTTTTAATTTCCCTTAGTGAATAAAAAAGCTCTATCTTTTCACTGTATGGTTTTTGTATTTCTGGGTTTCCCAGAACATGCACATTGGGTCTAAATAGTACTTCTTCACCTGGAAGTCTCAGAAACATATATACTACTATAGTGTGTCATTAGCATATTGCTGAAATTAGGATAGGGAAAAGAAACATAACCCTAGCTCAGCTGAGGATCACCGAATCAGAGAGACCTTGACCCTGAGATAGAGTTCCATATGGCAAATTTCCCGGGGATGCCTTTAAAGTGATTTGGGGTGGCAGGGGACTGAGTGAATGTGGGTTAAAGGGCCGTTGTGGAGCTCTGGGCAGCCAGTGGCAGAAGATATTGCAGATGCTTGCTGCACTTTCTGCTTCCTCAAAACTGCAGCCAGGTGCCTCATGGGCTGCTGGGGAAGACTGGCACTTACCACCTGGGCTGTAGGCTCTGCCTCTGGCCTGGAGAACATCCACACAGGAGCAAAAGGACCCAGGTAAGGCCTCAAAACGCATGCTTTTATTTTCTAGCAGCAAGAGTCTCATAATGCACCTTATAAGCTCTTTCATCCAAAGATTATCTAAAAGTGTAGGAAGATAAAAGGAATAAACAACCTTGACTTGTTGGTGTTTTTTTCCTAAAAACATGTAATGTTGGCCTCCTTCAGGTTTCTTGCCATTTTTACTGCTCTGTAGGTTTGGTATTGCTGGCACTGTGAATGTGACGGGTGATGAGGTGAAGAAGCTGGATGTCTTATCCAACTCCCTGGTGATTAACATGCTCCAGTCCTCCTACAGCACCTGCGTCCTGGTCACAGAGGAGAACAAAGAGGCCATCATCACCCCGAAAGACAAGCGGGTCTGTGCAGCGCCGGCATTCAGGGGGGTTGTCGGCTCAGGCAGCAGCAGGTGGCACTCTTGCTTCAAGTAGGAAACCTGGCCCCCAAACCCCACCCTTCCCGGGGGAATTCAGAAAATTTGCACCATTTCTGTGTGGTTTTGATTAATAGCTGCAGTGGGCGGCATGATTTCAACAGCTAGAAGAGATGTGGACAGTAAAAGTATTATTAAAGTTTTGTGAAGGAGGGAGAATAATTATTTTTAAGCTTGTTAACACATCCCAAATCCCAGGTGTAAGTGTACTTTACATTCCCTGACCACGGGTGCGATGGTTTTGGATTACGTTAGTATTTAGCAAGAAAGAGTGAGATGAGAGGCTAGCAGAGCTCGGTTTTATGTTACATGTCCAAAGGAAACACCTGACTGCTCCATCAGGCTTCCCCCAGGAGGGGATCGTATTACAGGGAGTTACTGTTCACCCTGATGTAACCTGCCCTTTCCCGAAGATGTTTTTTTTTCTTTCTGCCTTCTTAAACCCCTCAAACCTCACCACACAGCGAAGTCCTTTCATTCACAGCAAAAAGTAGCAAGACAAAACACATTCATTCGAGGAAGATACTTGCTTCCAGAATGAGTCACTCCTTTTGCTTTTAAACGATTCCTTGCCCTGCTTGGCAGCAGAGGACTGCTCCTCTCTATGGTCTATTTGTGCTGTCTGAGCAGAAACGTGTCCTCTCCAATTTCTCCGGCAGCCCCTTGGGGAGTCGGTGTTGTGCTGCAGGGCCAGCTGGGTCAGCAGTGCAGCCTTCTCTGACGAGCTCTATCAGGCACGCTTGGAGGGCTAAATGCAGACAGAAAAACATGGGAGATTTCAAGTGAAAGGAAATAATGATGCGAGACAACACGTCATTAAATGGTTCCCTTGCCACTTCTGTTTTAGGGTAAATATGTGGTGTGCTTTGACCCCCTTGATGGTTCATCCAATATAGACTGCTTGGCACCAATAGGAACAATATTTGCCATCTACAAAAAGGTAAGAGGCGCAAATTACACGTGGCGCAATTCACTTGCTGAAAGCAAAATGTCTTGAGCTCATCACCTTGCCTAGGTTCTTTCCATGGTCCATTAGGTGTCTCTGGGCAAAAGGGAGCCTTAGCAAGAGTAGGCGAGCGCTTGATATTCACGTGTGCTAAAATGCTGCCTGAATTCACAGGACGGGGACACCCAGCCCCATGAAATTGTTAGGTGGCAGCACGTCCTTCCTCCACGCGCAAAGGCGACGTGTCCACGCTAGGTACAGCGATCTCACCCCCAGGGCCGCTGGTTAGCTCCTTCAGTGGTGCTTGACTCAGTGTTAGGCGCCCACGAGTCATGGGATTTGTCCTGGACACCCACTGTGGGGGGCTGGCAGCCCTGGGCCGTGGCCAGCAGCGTGGAGGCCTCCCAGTGCCAGCCGCTGTGCCTGCCATGGATGGGAGGTCATAGGCATGGAAGCGATGAGGGCTGGAGGAAGCTGCATTTGTTGGGGTCCTGGTGGCATGTCTGCTCCCATGGGGCTGCACAGAGCAGCAGCTACGCAGCCAATTACTAACACGAATAGTTACAGTCATGCCAAGTCTTGTGATTTGTTTGCTAATCTCCCAGCAGTTGGTGTTTTTTCCAAAGGCTGAGCTCATGGTCATATGACTGTGGGAGACCCTCAGCCATCGCTATTGTGAAACAACAGTTTGCAGTACTTGTGACTTCAAAGAAGTCTTTGCAGACTCAGATGGTAAAGCAAATGAAGATACGGTCTTTAAGTCTCTCACCCTTTACCTCGTATTTTTCAGCTGGCTAGTCCTTGATTTTTACATTTCCTGTAGGTAATACTATAGGCATCACTGCTGAGAATGTGCATCTTCTAGTGAATCAAATAGCTACGGCACAATCTCAAGAGGGTTGTGGCTCAAGCCAAGTCCTGAAATTTGGCTGTTCATGGTTAGTGCAAACTCACAGCACAGACGCCATGCAGGCCAGACAACACTGAGATGGTGCCTGGGTATGATTTTGGAAAGGATATTCCTGGGACTACCTCCAGTACCTTGCAGTATCTTGCTTTTTGCAGATAGATGCTTTTTCTGTGTTGATGAAATCTATGAAATGTGCTCTAATGTTAAGCAGAGGGACCTCTACTCTTTACAGCTATCTCTCCAAAGATACCCTAAATGACAACAGCAGCTCCCAATATTTGCAGTAGACAATAGCTGCATTTTCCTTTAAATTATTAAGTAAGAAGTGCTTTATTGATTGTTACTAAAGGGTAGTGGGAAAGAATAAAAGTGAAATGTTTATTCCAGTAGATAAATGCCACTTAAGAAAGAGGACATAATTTTTGGCCATTTAAGGTTAATGAATAACATTTTTGAAAAGGTAGACCCATTGTGTGATTCCAAAGGATGAACCTTAGCACCTACCAGTTCTTCAGCTTAGAGATGAGCTTTTGACTGATTTTCTACCGTGTCTCAACTTCATTTCCAAAGGCACACTTTCCAAATTGGAAACATTTGGCTCATTTTAGGAAAAAGAACCCGAAACAGATAATAAGCACTCTTACAGAAAGGCCAGACATGGACAATGCATTTCAATCCTGAAGACTGATTGCTCCCAGTCCTGACCCTCCACCACAGTGGGAAGGACCATTTCCTCGTGTCAGAAGAGCGCTCTATCGGTTTCTTAGAAAAACCCATGAGGAAATAAATACTATCTCAGCTTTATTTAATTTTCCACCTGGCCTTTGTTTTCTGAGATCAGGGTGGTGCTGCTGAAAATCAGAAACACCAGAAAAGTGGGGCTGAGGCAGGAGCCTTGTAGAATCAGCAGGGGATTGGACCACGACAGCTGCTGCCACTGGAGGGGCTCTCAGTTGCCAAAGTGTCAGGATGTGGTGACAGTAAATGCCTTTTGCTTGGGTTCTTCCCAGGTTTTCATGCCACTGAGCTGACTCTACAATCCTTAATTCATACTGCACAAATATGTTATGAAACTCTCACTCTGTTTCACTGTGGTTTTAATTTGTCACTTTGCCCAATGCCTCTGATGTGTTTTATTTCATGGGGACAGTGTTCTTCCCTTCATGTGGTCCCTCACAGAAAAGGTGTAAGGATTCAGTGTAAACACAAAGGCTACTCATGAAATTCATGATACAAGTGGAGACCTGGAAATCTAGTCATTTTAGTGCAGATCCCACTGCTGATGAGGGTTCCCTCATGTGATGTCAGGCAAATCACAAACAAAAAATTTCAAACTCAGATATCACCTGAGGGTACCCCTATAGCCAAACTCTGCAGCCTTTGTTTCATCAGCCTTACACCAATTAAGAGTTATAATGACGGAGTCACTATAACTCATTATTTGCAGTCCATCTGTCTATTTTATTGCTTTGCATAAAGACCTCTAAAGGTATTTCCCTACCACCATCACAGTCAAAATATAATGGACAGGAAATCCATCTGTGCACCAGAAAGAAGAGAAAATAGCAATTATCACAGTGTACTGTCCAGTTTAATTCCCTGGTTTGTTTAACAGTACACAGTACTTGGCAGGACAAAACTCCTGCAGTCCTAACATTGAAGTATCAGCTGATCTGTAGCTTTTTCACATTCTAACTAGCTCTGCAAAACATTTGTTTCAAACCTTTTCTCCTTTTTGGAAGCTAGCTCTTGGAAACACGGTTGTGAATAAGGATGAAAAAAAAAAGTTAATTCAAATACCTTGAGGGAGGTATTACTCTGTTTTTTTCTGAATAGTCCACAAATATATAGTTTCTCAGCCGTATTGGCATTGAAGATGCATTTAAGAAATAGGACTGAAAAGCTCATCTCAGAAAGAAGGATGTATTTTAAAACAATATCATATATAACCCGAAGTTACATGTATATATACCAGATTGTAGAAAACAAAACACTTTTCTATATTTATACAAAATGATCTTTTCTTTAATAAGAGCATACAAAAAGCTATGACAACCTTAATATGTTTGAAACTGTCTAAATGAATGTTTAATTCTGCATTTGATGCTGCAAATAATTAGTCTGCTGTGGACAACCATTGCTTTTAGTGGTGAGACGTGTGTGCCATAGGGGCATATTTTTGAATGAGATGATGCTACCTAGGCCATAATAGTTGGTACTGTAAGGACTGTTTCACAAAGTATTAGCTACTAATAGTCAATATTCAAAGCTCTGACATATGCAAACAAAAGTTTAAACTAGTCTTCCTTCATTATCTGCATTATAACCTCTCAGAATAAGCAGCTTCACATAGTTGCAAGGGACTGAGTACCACATGTATTTGCACATGCTATATTTCAGCTCCCATGAAGACCTGGATGTCAACTGGATTTTTTTTTTATTTCCACAGAATGACTTGGCAAAGTAGGGATAAAAAATTTGAGCAAAATGCAGTTAAAAATTGTAAGTGAAGTAACTTAAGTAACAAAGCCTTTCAGTTGAAAATGAAAACATTTTGATATGAAATAACTGTCTTCATGTAGCAAGAAAGGTGTTGTTTTGGTGTCCCACATCTCAGTTTTCCTTGGGGTGTTGGCATAAAACAAGGAGTGGGAACACCTTGCTAGGACCATGATGGGCAAATAGTTTATTTTCTACACAAGACAGTCTTCATGGATTTAATTTATTTTTTTTTTAACCAGATATTCAGGGCTAGGCCTGCTCTTTCTATTTAGCTGATATTCAATCTAAATAAGCCTGTGCAATTGCTGAGAAACTGTCTGAGTTTGGAACAATAAAATACTAAGCAATGGCCTGAAGAAAGGGGGGATGTTTTATTTCAGTTCCCCATGGACCACTACCAAAACATCCATACAAGACCCACTGATGAACTTTTAAGTAAATATTGATATCAAGCAATCCCTACCCATTTTGCAGGAGATGAAGCCTGGAACCAGCCTTCCCGAGTACTGTTGGCTGTCCTCCTTACCTCCCCCAGCTGACAAACTCTTGTAAGCCATGGCTGAGGTACGCCTCTGGAGCTGGCTATATTTATATTATATAAATATAATGGAAATATTTGCTCCATGTCTGCTGGTGCTACTGTTGCTCCACAAAGTGCCTAATCAAAATACGAGTGTCATAAATTGATTAAAAGCATGAAGTAAAATGCCACCTGAATGTTCTATGTAGAATTATAGATGAGTAGCTGCACACTTTCCTACCTACATGCACACTTTACACGATCACATGCCTTCGTTATTTTGTATATAATATGATGAACATTTCTATGTAACAGATGAACATTTGTATCAGTTCAGTTATGCATCCCTTCCCTAGCAGAGACTAATGAACAAACTTGGTTCCATGATGTTGCTCCACACACCCTTTTATTCTGTACTGTGGAAGTATTTCTTCTGTAATGTTAATTACAGCATTTATCTTTCGGTTATTCCCTCTGAGGGGTGTTATGTTACATTTACAGAAAATTAGTATCTCTGCTCTGTCTCAGATTTCTGATTATCCTCAATTAACAGCTGGGGCCATAATGCTAAGGGATCAGCTTTGTGGCATGTGTCATATTGATTGCTTGACATGTATAAAATAACAAACTCTCAACATCCTGTCCCAGCATGTACATGTACCTGTACCAAACTTGCCCTGAACGAGGCAGGGGACAATCTCTGTTTTTGTTGTTTCAAAGGCCTGCATAGACAGAAAAAGGAAATCTGCTGCACGTTATTATTGAAATGTTGTTTTTATTGTTCGTTATCAGAATTTAACCTTTGGTTCAATGGTAATTTTTCCTCAGGATACAGATGACGAGCCCTCTGAAAAAGATGCTTTGCAGCCTGGACGCAATATTGTTGCTGCAGGCTATGCCCTGTATGGTAGTGCTACGCTGGTTGCCCTCTCCACAGGGCAAGGAGTGGACTGCTTCATGCTTGATCCGGTACAGTCATGGTGTTAATCACATTGCCACTTTCCATTAGAGCCTTCTGTGCTTGGTTTTACTTGCTCTTGTCAGTCCTTGTCTCTGTAATCTATCCACTTTATGCAATTTTTATTTTCATGTCCTGGAGCATCCCAGGTATTAAAGTATTTAATAATATATGAGCACGTTGGTTGCAATACCTGCTCGGTTTTTGCCTACTCAACAGAAGTGAAATTAAGATAAATTCTCAATTAAGTGTTCGAAACCCTCTTCATTCAAACCAACACTTAAGAAAATTTAATTTGTGCAATGTCTTTGTGTTCACTTAAAGGAATCTGTGTTTGTTTTATTCTTGATTTTCCTGTCTGAAAAAGAACTTCAGCATGTTCACTGTTTAGCCTGAGGCAAGGACCATTTTTTTGATAGCTCGTGCCAAGCGATGTTTCATTTCCCAAGAACAGTAGACTTTTATGGCTGTCACCTAAGCTGCACACCCAAAAATCTGCAAAAGCACACCACCACCTATACAATTGACCTATGCCACCCCTCAGTGCCCAGGAACACGACAGGTGTTACTGTGGGACTGCTGGAAGATCATTCATTTGTAAAACCAGAATTAGATGTGGGCAATAACATGGTGTTGTTTTTTATGGTTTTTTTATCTTTTTTTTTTTTTTTTAATAAAAAGATGAATTATTACCAAAACTTCTTGTAACCTTTGTAAATAGTCTTGTTCCAAGTGGAAAGAACTGAGAGATGAACAGCTCTGGTTGAGACAGTGGAAGTTGAAATCAAACTGCAGACAGTAACACATGGGTGTAGCTGACCACATTCACTTTAAGATATTTAGACAAGACAGGCAAGAGGAGTTCAAAAATCAGAAGGCAGTGTCATTTTTTAATTTGCAGCCTTATGATTTGAGGACAGAGATTCATGGCCCATCTGCTTTCAGGGCTGATTGGTGCTCTTTTGATACTCTGTTCCAATTTGGTTTTGTTTATAGTACCAATTGTGACAAGTTTTCATTAATTCAATGCAAATTCTCAGCTTTCTGCTCTCTTTGAAATATTGTGAGGTTATACACTAGGCTGGTGCTGAAAGGATCAAGCTGTGCTAGCACTTCTGCCATGTCTAGTGTGACAACTGTTACAGAAAGTCAACAACATTTTCTGCTGCCTGCTAATATCTCATTTATCCTGTCCTGCAGGGTCTCGGTGAATTTATTTTGGTGGACAAAGATGTTAAAATCAAGAAGAAGGGGAAGGTATACAGTCTCAATGAAGGTTATGCCAAGTATTTTGATCCTGCAATGACAGAATACTTGCAAAGGAAGAAATTCCCTGAGGTAAGAAAACATTAGCACTGGTCCTGGCTGATGGAAAAGGATTTGAAGGTCTTCCTGAGTTCAGACCCATGTAACCCTTTCATATCAGCTGGTCCATTTTGGATATTCATGTAATTGAGTTTTGGTTTTGTTTTTTTGACATCCTGACATTTTTTATAACTTTCATTACTTAGACTTTGGCAAATCATAGCTTGTTTGTGTGAAGGGAAATGTGCTGAAAACCAGATCTTTCAACAAAGCTCTAAAATGTGCACACCACATCTGGGGATACCCTCATTTTCTAGCATTTCATTTTCTGAATATGCAGTTCAGTCATATGTGCAGCTGGGCATTCAGGGCTAGATTCCACGTGCTGCCCAGAAGGTGTTTGCAGGAATCTGGGTGGCATCACCTTCTCCTTCTCATGCCCTCTTGCCTCTGAAAAATGCAGTATCATTCTTGCAAATTCTACTTGCTTCATATGGAGCATGAACCAACATACAAGCTGGGGAGAAAACCTAAACAAATGGTGTGAGGCACAATTTCACTATATTTGGTGGTTAAAATAGAGAGACATCCCATGTCTGATTAACTTGCTTGGACAAATAAAGTTTTGTTATTAACTTACCAGTGCTAGGAGGACAGAACACAGGCTCTCAGTGTGGAAGGCTAGAAGCTCTCTAGAAAGTGTGGCTATGTGAAGTGTAATTCATCATGAAATATGGTGATGTGGATCAACTCAGGACTCAGTTTGGTCAGAAAACTGCTTTTAAAGCTCTTCTTATTAAAAAAAGTCATATTATTTTTAAACTATTAGTTGTCAAGGATGTTTTTATTTTGGTTTGTGTTAAAAAAATGCATTCAGTAAAAACCTCAGGGTGCTGTAAAAGGGAAATATAATGAGTAACCATTTAAACTATGGTCCCATGATAAGCTCCTCCTTCTGAACTAAAAAATCTGGATTTACCGTATCAGCTATAGCTGCAAGGCTACTGACTGAATATCAAACCCTCTTTTTTGTATTACCCAGACTGTAGCTACAGAGAGTGCCACACCACAGCATTCTAAATATATTGACTTTGAATTTTTGAGATTATTTTGAGACTTCAAAGTCTGCATTCAGTTCAGCTGTGAGAGAAGCAAAAACCCACAACACAACTTTCATACTTCCTGAAACCAAATCCAGCTGGGAAAGTGAAGAGCATCTGTGCTTCTCATTCTGCTCACATTATACCAGGCTATGCATTCAGTATAATGCATATTAATTTATTTTTTTTGCAAAGCAACAAAGTGTTATTTAAAGTAAAACTCTTAAACAAATGAATCAACCCCAGGCAACAAGGAAAAGACTGAAGAGATATCAAACTCAGTGGAAAGACCAGACAGAGTTATTTCCCCACAGGATCAATGAGGACAGCTCTATCAGGTGACTCCCTAAATCCTTAAATTAAGACATACCAGAAAAAACTCATGCAAACACTATTTTATCTCAGGTCTGTGCATCATTTGATGAAAACATACTGAAATTGTTGGTCTAATGCAACAGAAGTTGGCAAATATTTTTGTTACTTTAAAGCAAGTAGCACAGAAGTTCATGGGTTATTTGGGGCGCAGGAAATCTTCTCAGTTGAGCTGAATAACCACATTTTTTGCTGCTTTGAGAAGTACAGTTGTCTGCATGAGGAGGGCTGAGGCACAAATGTTATGGCCACAAAGCACAAGGAAGTGCCCTGCCCATCTGAAACTCATTACGAACCTGAGTTTTGGAAACAGCATAACTCAGTTCCTTGATTTGGAAAGCACATTATATTTGCATTGTGGGAAGGACTAGAGATAAAAGGTTTTGCCATTTCTCTGTAGCATGGGACGTGCTTTCTGGCCTCACCTGTAAGCCTAACCAGCTACAGCCACATTGATGATGTTCCTCCTTTCCCTGCAGGAGCCAGGTTGAGATTTTCACAGTTTTGGTCTTTGTCCCATTCTCTCCAGCATGCAGAAGGGTAGTGAGGGTGTCTGCTGGATATTCTCTGCCTCTGACTTGAGGAGGAACTGACGTTCCTTGGCATGGAAACACCTTCTTATTCAGGCAGATTATTCACCCTATACTCTTCTGACTGCTAAAAGACAGGAGACCTGGCACTAGTTTTAGCTATTTGTCACTTTTTTTCATTTTTCTTCCTTAGATCTTACCTCTGTTAACTCCTTCCTGAGCTTATCGGTCAACATGCTGTTCAGATGACTGACTGACATTGTCACTAAAAACTAAAAAGTTAAAATTGAAACAAAAGTAGAAAGTTTTCCACAACACGTCCTATGTTCTAAATCATTGTCATCAGCAACAAAACACTAAAAATCAGTAGAAGAGAAGAGGAGTAGAAGAGAAGTTTCCTCTTACTATCTAACAGCTGTGTCCCAGATCAGACAGCCTGGACTACAAAGCCCCATTGACCCTCAAAATTTCTGGTGGATCCCCATATACCTAAGGCATCAATTCTGAATAAAAAGCACTAGAATGATGCTGATATTCTGTAGCCCAGACCTAAGCCTTCTACTACTAACATGCAGTGGGAAACATATGTCTAACCACATCTCTTCTGGTATGAGAGTGAAGCTAATTTTTTACAAAGCATGACAAAATCACACTGCTTCTTAACCAGTTTGAAGAGCAAGCTTCTGTTTGCAAAATTGCCTGTAATGCAACATGTTTGCTCCAGTCTGCAATGCTTAGTGGGCACTGCTGGGCCTGAAACTGTCTCTGCACAAATTTTACTACAACTTCTCCCCAAAATGGGTCCTTCCTAAAAGCCACAAGGCCCTACCTTCTTTCTGGCACTGGTTGACCCATGGTAGAATTTGAAACTCCCCATGGACTTTGTCACACTTTGCTAGGACACTTTTATCTTTGCTTCCTACAGTCAGAGACAAGAGAAGTTGAGTCTCATCACAGCTTGTGGATGATGACAGCTATGCAACTGAGACTCGTTGGTTAAGGATTTATTCCAGCAATGCCATTAAAAACTTACCCTCAGTAGCACATTTCAGTATGAAGCATTCTTCTGTCAACTAGCCAAGCTGTGTCTGAATGATACATAAAAGCTAGTAAAACCACTATTCTTTTGTCACCACATCTGTATGTGGAGTAAGGGATGCAGTAAGACTTTGTTATAGTTTGCAAAAAAAATTTCTTGCCCCCCCCTCCTACTTATCATATTTATATAAGAAAAACCTGGTCTTGCTCTGCTGTGAAAGAGCAGAGCTGTCAGAAATCAGTAGAAGAAAGAAATGAAAAAAATTGACTTCTATCAGAGCATGAAGAAAAAATATCACAGGACCTATATGTTATGAATGATATTTGTTCATTTGTGTTAAGCAAAAGAAAAAGCAGCAGAAGGGATGAAATGAAGAGTAGCCACAAGTTTACTCAAACACCATGGATGCTGACCAAGGGAACATGAAGGTTCTTCCATTGGCACCAACTAAATAATCAGAAGTGCTTATTGAGCAAGCACAGAGCTTGGCATTGCTGAGGACTTGGGATGAACCAGTCTAGCATTCATGCTCTATTATTTTGTGTGAGAGGAATGCCTGGGCAATATGCCAACACACATGCAACACCTATTAACTTTCTCATATGCAAAAAAAAAAATGTTTAAGCAGCAAAACTGGAGAAACAAGACATAACGTTTCACTAACTAAAAGTAGCATTTATTCTTCCCATGTAGGCAGCTATATGCTAAGGGAAGTAAAAATTTTATTTCAGTATGTGGTTCAAGTGATAGCCTTATTAGAATGGAGGAATTTATCTTCTGTATTTTTCTCAGCACACTCTCAGCATTATATCTCTAGCTGGTGAATATCTGTCTGGCTAAGAAGCAGCTACAACTGTCAGTGGCATCTCATGAGCTTAGAATATCCTGAGTTAGAAGGGAACCTCATAACCCTGCCCATGTACACACAAATTATGTAAATAATCTGCATATAAATAGGAAATCTAGCACATTCCAAAACTGTCAGATGATGTGTACACAGGTGGCTCAGCTGTGCATTAAACTTTATACCTGTGGTTTACAGAGTCCTTATTTGATAATGTCATAGAAGCAATCCTTAGCAGTCTGGTTCAGGGGCTGCTTGCTAATATGTTATGGCTTTTCTTAGTATTCAACAAACTGCTCGTAGGACTCAGTTCATTACCTTTTAAAACCACAAAAGTTCTTCTTTTGATTGTATTTTTAAAGTTAATTTGAGACTATAATCACATCTTTCCTGGACTTTAACTGAAGATTCTCACTTGTCTCCTTTTAATATCTCTTAAGGTGTTCCTGTTGGTTTTTCCTGTTGTCAGATTTTTACAATTGCAAAGTCACAAGTACAAACAGCTGTGAGATGGCGAAGCCATCATTTGAAGCCTAAATATGCAATTATTTGAGCATAAGCCATGAAAAACAAGGGAACAAATACTTAAAAGTTTTGTTCACCTGTGCCTACAATTAATAGCACCAGATTTAAACAAAACTAAATGTAAAAGCTCTAGACTGTGTCTTATCCATCAGTCTTTCATAGTTTGCATTGTTTTCTTCTGGATTTTTCATAGTTCTCCTAATGTGTACAACATGGATCATGAAAACCAACACGTGTACAGTTGAACAAGGGTTATTACATTGCCTGGAATGGTTCTCTTTTCCTATTTTATTATCAGCTATATAAAAAATCCAAGTCTTATCTTTAGCAGCATAGGACTTAACTTCCTAGTGCTGTGTTGCTTTACAATATGCAATTTCATGAGAATTTTTTTCCATTTTAGAAGATAGTAATTGTCAAAACTTCACAGTCATATTGAACAATTTGATAAAGTGATCTCAAAATAGAATTATGTTTTTCTCTATTTTCCTTCCAAGTGTGAATTTTTTTTCCCAGGCCTTTCCTTGCTGGGAAAGGTAACTAACTCGTGGTATCTGAAGGTTTTCAAACTGGCATTGCTGAACAAGTTCTCTATGTACTTTTCCAGATCTAGTTATCAGTACAAGATAAGCTTTGTAGAAAGTGCTAAGATCTTTTATTAGAAAACTGACCCAGACAGAAAAAAACATGCTGAGATGTTTTCAGACTTTTAGCACTGTAATACAAAACATATATGTGTATTATTAAATGTTCTTGAAGTTCAGTCTATAGTAATGTTCTGGGAAGATGAAAATTCCTCCTCAGCTTTATTGAAGACAGATTGAGAGATATGAAAAGACCAGCAAAATTCTTCTCTTAAAAAGCTTTCCCTAAATTTACATCTGTATTTTGTATCTCCTCTTCATAAAAGTATGATGACATGTCATATTTCTTGAGTGGAGCTTATTTGGTCTACTGTATGTACTTCTATTTGTTCAAGACACCTTGCTTGTCTTCTGTATTTCCTACCTAACCATTTCTGTCACCAGCAGACCTGCGACTGACATGAATACTTTCTTGATTGCTCTTGCTAAAATGGCCTGTCCTTCAACAAAATCAATTTCTAAGCTGAGAGCAAGGAAAATTACATTAATGAATAAATGGTAATCTCCCAAACCAAGCTGCAGAATGAATTCTATGAACAATTTCACTACTTGACAAAGCAGCTGGAAGGTAGAAGTTTGAGTTCTCTTGGAACCATCTGAACATGAATGATACCCCTCCTCATGCTCTGGCTTAGGAAACAGTGAAAGACCAAAAATCAAATTATTCTGATCTTGTTCTGATAAGGTGAAGAAGTTTTCAGTCCCTTGTTTTTTCACAGGCTAGGGTTTGATTCCAAATTGTGCCCTCAAATTACAGGCACTCTGGTTTGCATACTGTGTCTGCAGCTCTTTAAATCTCGTATCTTAAAACCCTGTAGATGGTCACATCTTACAAAAGGCTGAACTTAGGACTGGTTTTGGTATCTGCAGTATCCATAAGCAGCCATTGATTTAAGCAGCTTTGATTCCAGTTTCATAGCAGAATTACACTTTGCCACACTACTAGTTGTCTAGCCTGGTAAATATAGTGCTTTACTCTATGTTTTTCAGGATGGCAGCTCCCCATACGGTGCCAGGTATGTGGGCTCCATGGTAGCTGATGTTCACCGTACACTGATGTATGGTGGGATCTTCATGTATCCTGCTAACCAGAAGAGTCCTAAAGGAAAGGTATATAATTTGAATTACTTTCTGGTGAACTTAGCCAAACTAACACCTCTGGTATTACCACAGAAGTAGTTTAGATAAATAAACGAACAATAATGTTCCACTGTGGGAAAAAATTACTTATGAAAATGACAGACAGAAATTGAATTTAGGAAAGAAATGTAGGCAATTGCTGATTTAGGCCAGAAATCTCCCTCTGTGCTTTTATATTACGAGATACTCAAGTGATTTTCACTGCAACCAAGGACTTAATAATTCTTCTAAAGATAATACTTCAGTACCATTGAAACCCATTGAGACACCTGTGCACAGCTTGCAGATACACCACAGATCTAAGGAAAACCTCTGCACTTTAAACTGGCAGCTAGAGTTATCCCATCAGCTGGTGGGATACGCTGAGCCCCAGAAAGGGTTTTGTCCAATACTGGAAAAAAAGGGTTTTCCTACCTTATGTTTCCAAAGGACACTGATCTTATATCACCAGCTCTGCAAACTCAGGCTTCAACTACCTGATCAGAAAAGGTGATTACAGTGGAATATATGTTTCTCATACAATATTTTAGGGAAGTATGACTTCCCATTTGGACACCAGTACAAAATGCACCATGACAATGCAGTGCAATGCAATGCAGTCAGTCTTTGAAACCAATGGGCCACGGACCATTGTCAACCTCAACTTCTCTCCTGCAGCATCAGATACCCTTATGATCAACTTTTTAAAGAAATATGTTTTAAGAGACCTAGTCGTACAGCTGATCTGCGGATCAACAGTAACCTGCAGAAATCCTTAGGAAATCATTGGCTCAGTACCTCAGTCCTGCTCAGGTTGGGCATGGTGTTCTGACTCCAAGAATACATTCTTTCCTGATCTACACTATACTTAAAACCTTCTATTCAAATGTTTTTGCATACATGGCTGGTACATGGAGGAATCTGCCCCATCTTCCATACTGGTCTCAGAATATCCTAATGTCTACAGTCTTTAGGGGGAGAGGACTACTGGTTCCATCATAGTGAGCTTGTATTTACCAAAATATCAGCAGATCCAAATGGTCTTCAAAGCAAAAATAGGAAAATAATTATCTTCAACATATACAACCAAAAATGTCTGCATGTTTGTCCAGGCAAAAATGATTTAAATTTTTGAATCAGCATCCCATGGCAAAAAAAAAAACCCAATAACTCCCAAAACACCACCCCAAAAAGTCCTCAGCAAATGATGTGGATCTGTTTGTATATAAGGGAAGAGAAAAAAAGGGAATTTGCTGTGTGTGAAAAAAGTGTGTTTGCTGACTGGCCTCTTCCAATTAAACTTTTTGTTTTGAAATCTGTACTAAACCACTGTTGAAAAGAGAGAATGAGAAACAGGACAAAAGAACAAAGGAACAAAGTATTTATATAACTTTACAAAATAAAGGTTTCCACAGGAGTTAACCCATGTTTATTATTGGATTGCTCTGGCTTGAACTGCCATAGTAAAGAGAGTAATGGAAGAAGAAAAATATGCTATCATCAAAAAATAAGTTTTCTTTCCATCTCAGAGTACAAGAGTATGTAGTTCTTTTCACATATATCCTTTCTTATTGGAGAAACAATACTCTTGTGGCAAGTTCCCTGAAAGACAGTCTATGCACTTGGTTAGAGAGCAGAAAAGAATCAAATGTCACTAACTGATCAAAAGTCTCTAGAGTAAATGCAAATGACATGGATGTAGGCCCTAAAATTTACAGATCCTTCCTTAAGTTAAAGAAAGAAAACTAAATGCTCAATAAACACTACAGTACAAGACTACCAGTAAATCTTCAAATAATGTATTTTGAATAATATTTTTCATAAACTTAAGGCTTATAGTTTTCTATTAGGTGAAAATGCTAAACCTATCTGAAGACAGAGCCCATCTGTGGATCTTTAAGTGCAATTGCACTGCTACCTGAAGAAAAACTGCTTTCCTCAAAGCATAGTCACAGCTAAGCAGCATGAAACTTGAAACGTGGTTCCATGGTGATGCCACTGCTGTTTGCTGGCTCATGATCTGCCAGAACTGGGCCAAGCAATAGGAGGAAGAGTGAAACATAATGGTCCTATGTTGCCTCAGAGATGGAGTCCTTGTACCAGAAGTAGCACTTCACTGGGCTTTAAAGATAAGAAAGAAGGTAATATAGTGCTATTTAAGTTGTGGTGTATCACCCTTTTATTGCAGTGTGCTAAAGGCATGACAGGTAATGAAGCCCTGTGTTCAACCCATTTCTCTGTCTCTATACACTGTAGCATTCTGTCACACTTCCTTTTTCCCAGAAAACATTCCCTCTTCTGGAGTCCTTCAAACAAAATATGTATTAATGTAGTTGTACATGAGCACTTCATAGATAAACCTACAGAAATAATGTTTCTTCAGAGCTGACCAGCTATTATCGATGTTCATTTAAACACAGGAACTTTTGGCATATATCCTAAATAAGTTTACACTCCACCAGAACACGCTCACCTCAAAAGGTAACATTTAAAAAATGTAAACAGGGTCCAAACCAAAAAGGAAATTTTGCCTGTAATAAATAACTGCAGCTCCTTCTGAAGCTAAGGATAAGTTGGATAAGTTCAGGCCACTAATATCTATATACATTTCTGAAGAGAAGCAATAAAATCCTGAAATATGAGACTGGGAGCATCAAGTTTCAAACTTCAAAACATCCTGACTAAACATAACATGATTATCCCAAGCTCTGAGTTAACACATAAAGGCTCCATATGAGAAGATATTTTGGCTTTTCTTTCCCAGAACTGCTAACTTAACTGGCTTAACTGTTTTGCTGATGTTTGTGGGACACCCACTTTCAACATTTTTGACAAAATACAGCGTCGCTGGTGCTGCATATCTGTATGTCAGCTTGGAAATGATAGTGGTGATGCCTGGGTGTAAGGTCAGTGCACTGTTCCTCCAAACAAAAAGCTTTAGCGAAGGTGAGAAGAGAAGGAAGGAGGGGATCTCCAAATGACATTGCTACTCAGGTATATTGAAGTTTAGTACAAAAATTCCTAAAATCACAAAAGGAATGCTAAGTTTAGGGAAGTCCTTTGATATAATTTCCCCCTAAGACAATCATGTGTTTCTTCTTTCTTTCTAGCTCCGACTTCTCTATGAATGCAACCCTATGGCTTTCATCATTGAGCAGGCAGGTGGAATGGCAACTACAGGGACCAAAGCAGTGTTGGATGTGAAACCTGAGAATATTCACCAGAGAGTTCCTCTCATACTTGGCTCTCCAGATGATGTGCAAGAATACCTTGATTGTGTTCAGAAACACCAGAAGAGCAGCTAAAGTCTTTCCACATCAAATATTGCTTGTCCAGTTTCAGTTTCCAAGAAAAGCTTTACCTTTCAAAACAGTGGATTCTAGCATTTACCACCAATCTCAAGTGAAAGTCCCAATTTACAAGAAGAGGAAAAAATAGTGAGATTTTGTTTCTCCTTGCAGGATTTCCTTGTAGAAATCCTTTAATTCTGATTTAGGCAGGGCAAGTGTAGAGACAGAGTCATGACAAACAGCAACTACTTACTTTATCTAGTATTATATAATGTTAACAAGAGGAACAGTATCCCCATTTGATCTGAAGCTTTACATTCGACATTACATGGACAGCATTGTTTGCGACAGGATTTCCACATCAGTATTGGAAATGCCATTTTCTGGATTTTTTTGTCAGGTTTTCTTGCAGATGTTTTTTATCTTGACAGCCCTAAGAAGAGCAGAAATCTCATGCTGTCTGAAACAGTATTTTTAAGCTGAAAATTATATATATTTTCGGTAATTAATAGAGACGAAAAGGCTGCAGCATTGCCAGGGTATTTAATTTCTCACGAGAACAGGAAATACCATGTGTTATATACACACACCTTTCAAAGCACAAATTACAATAAATCATTGCTATGGATGTGAGACTCAAATCATGCCTATTCTGTTGATCCACTGTCATCTGCATTGCCCTCTGATCCACTGTCCTATGCAAGAGGATACACAAACACTGTTATACCTCCATTTTCTCTTTGAAATGTTCTTATTTCAGATTGAAGCTTGCCCTTTTACACATTATACTGCAATTCCTTAGTCACTGTGTTGTCCTGTCTTTAAGTGGAAGGGAACACCCAAGTTTTGTAGATGCTTTTGGTTTTTCCAGGTATTGTGGATGCTTTTGTAGATGCTTGTGCTATGCTTGTGGTCAAAGGGAACAACAAAAGTCAAACAGTCTGCAGAAGCTTACAAAACTTTTAGTAAATTCCACACTTGGCGTGAGAATTTATACAAATTAGCCCCTAATCTCCTAGAATAAGCACACAGCAGTGGGGTTTGAATAAAGAGGTAGGGCAAAAGGGGAGAAAGCAGGAGGGAGAGATATGAACTACAGAGGAGGGGGAAGGCAGGGGAGACACAGAGTCTTGACTCCAGCTGATGTGGAATTCGGGGATGGGGGGTGCATATGGGCCTGGGCTTTGTGAGGATACCTGCTTTTCCCTGCCGTGAAGATAACTTTCTCATTTTCTGTACAAATTACTTATGATGCACAGTCTGTTCTTTTCAGCCTTTCAGGAAATGGGTCAGAGACATCTTGGGTTGTCTTGATCCCTCCCTATAATCCATGCATGCCCACTTCTCAGTCTCATTCCTATGCTTGCACTGTGTTGTCCTTATCTCCAAGAGTTACAACAAGGATGTTTGTCCTGGAAAAGTGCTGCCCTAATTCTGTATGGCCACCTTCTACAGCCACACCCTGTTCTTTCTCACAGTGTGTGTTACTAACAATCACTGGTTGTTATTATCAACAGTCCTTGGTTGGCTCCACAGCTATCTGGTTATTGCTGTTTGAGACATACACTTTAGCCCTTTGTCTTAGGGAGTCAGGATCCTGCATGACCTTCCTGAGAGCAAGCTTTGGCCTCTCCAAAGACAGCTCATAACAATCCCATGTCATAAGGCTCTAGTAGATAAGGAGGTCCAAGAGAGCTGGTCAATATTCAAACATCACTTCTTCCAAGCTCAAGACCTCATAGCCCTATGAGCAGGAAATCAGGCAAAGGGGGCAGTAGATCTGCATGGATGAGCAGAGAGTTTCTAGAAAAGAAATTTCTGGGATGTTAAAAAAGAGCCAGGCCTTGTGGGAGGGCTATAGGAACATCATCAGAGTATGCAGGGATAAGGAAGAACAAGGCTCACTTTGCATTGAATCTGATGAGGACAACTGAAAGGGCTTCTACAAGTCAGCAAAAGGGAGATTAGGGAAAATGTGGGGCTACTGCTGAATTGTGGTGTCCTGGTGCCAGAAGACACAGAGAAGTCAGAATTACTGAATGCCTTCTTTGTCTCAGTCTTTATTGGTGAGGCCAGCCCTCAGGAGTCCCAGACCCTGGAGGCAAGAGAGGAAGGCTGAAGAAAGGAAGACTTTGCCCTGGTAATGGAGGGTTGGGTTAGAGATCAGCTAGAGAGACTTAACACCCATAAATCCAGGGGCTCTGATGGGATGTATCCATGAGTGCCCAAGGAGCTGGCAGATGNCCCCCCGCCCTGTGCTGGTACAAAACTTTATTAAGAACACTTTGTGAATTACATTAGGACACATGGAGGAGTTGAAAATACTCCTGCCAAGAAAATCCAAGTTAAAATATAACTTACTAGTTAAACACTATAAAATAGTGTTTTACTATTCCTAAAGAAGAGGCAGGCTGAACAAAAGCAGACAAAATTATTCATGATGAGTGTTTACCCTTAGTTATTGCTATCCCAGGGGTGAAGATGTGATTTCAGTGCTGCTTCAGGTATCAAAGCACTCTTTCTGCAGGTATCTGGCACTTTTTAAAGCTGTGACAACTTCCCAGAATCAGCAAGTACAGTGTGAACTTGTTTAGTCTGTTCCTCATCACGTGCTCTACTATCTCAAAGTTCTACTATCAACAGTAGAACACAAACAACACTTAAGTCCTGGAGACTGAAGAGGAAGCAGAAAAAAAATAGACGGTTTAGGTAATAATAAAATCTTTTTACTGCATGATGCATTTGTGCACCCTGATTATGGAAACTAATGAATCCATTTTCCTGTGAAAATACTGTGCACGTACATGTATTTACAACTTTTTTTAGACATATATGCATATATATGTAATTGTCTCTCCAAGTCTTTATATCAAAACACAAACAGATGTTGATGTCACTATTTATTGAGGAACTCCATTGCATTTTTTAAGTTGGAAACCTAAAACCAAGTGTAATTTGAGGCCAGTCTAAGTCAGCTAACAATACTGGTTTTGCATCAGAAGGATCACTGGTAACTTAGTCCTGTTCCCAAGGGGCCAGGAGAGATGATGGGGCAAGAACAGAGATGCCCTGAGTAGTCCTCAGGGAAACCACAGGGCCTCTAAAAACCACCACTTAGGGACATGGTTGCAGTTTGTTTTGGAGTGGGTGTACCCAGTCTAATGCTTAAGATCTGTGTTCCTGCTGGCAGGATATGTACACCTGCACACTGCAATGTGTCAGTCATTGAGTGCCCTACTTACTGTCAGCCTTACAGCACCCAACTTGCCTTCATTTAAGTATAGCTTCACAGCAAAGCCTGGATCTAACCCCAGCTGCTATTTTCCCCACATTTATTTTTCCTCAGTTTGCACCAAAAGCACATGTTAGAGGAGGGGCTAGGGCTGGGACACTGCTCTGACTAACTGCTGCTTAGGTGGCTGCAGATGCTTAAATGACAATGCTCTTCGTTTGTGGGTGGCTGGGTGGCTGGTACTTACAAAGAGATCCATATCTACTCTGTATAAACAACCCCTACAAACTTCAAACGCAGATTGAGAAAGCAAGCAGCTTTATTCAGTGTGAACAGTGGATGTTCTTTGCTGGAGTCCTGCTTCGATCTACCTTACTACTATTCTACTCATACCTAAGTACTTGTATGTATTCTGCTACACACAGCAGAACCCTGCAACCACACCACTCCACAAAGTCCTCCTAAAAGGCTCAGGGTGAGTTTTAAAGTTTCCCTCTGCAGTGAGATGCTAGTTTAGACCATTTCTACAGAGCTCTCTTACACTGCAGGGTGAGGGTGAGGGGACACACCACCTATGAAACCCTTGCAACACTGGACCACAACTTCCTCCCATGGCCTCCCATCATGGTTTTGCAAGGTATCTGAGGGCTGCTGAGAAAGTAAGACACAGATTTTTTTTGATTTTTTTTTTAAGAATCAGTGACTATTTAGTGGTTGGAGTGGTGTGGAAGAGGACACACGACAAGCTACCATCAAGGCTGCTGAGAGAAACAGTCAGTGCTCACGATGAAGGTGTTGTGACTGCCTCCAGATGCAAAAGTCAGCAATGCCTGATATTATTCCTCAGATGCTCATCAGCATGATACAAAATTGAAAATACATGCAAACACCAAGTACAGGAAGGAACAGACATATGTGAACTAAACACTAGTTCACATATGTGCCTTTTTATCAGTATTCAATAGTTTCCTGGCATAAATTATATATTAATTTATCACTGATAGGTATTTATATATTTTTATATATATATTTATATATTTATGTAGAAATTATATATGAATAAATTTGACTTCTTATTACTTTTGGAGGAAGATGCAGAAACTATACTGTTTGTACTGCACCAGGTGTGTATATATATATATGCGACTGTTAAAGCACTGGTTGTCAAACTTGTTGCCAAACATAATTCTTCTTTACAATTATTTGGAACATTTGCACCTATTTCAGAAGTAAAATAAAGGCAAACTACATCAACCTAGTGGTGTCCAATAACACAAGAAAATACAGCAACCCCACCAGTCTCTACTAAATGAGCAGTTGTTCACAAATTACTTTGACTGGAAACTGAGTTAGTCTGAGCAGCCAGGCGCAGAGAGGTGGCCTTGTGACTGCAATCACAAGATGGGGGATCAGAGAACAGGTTGGGGCTGGCAGGCTTCCCACCAGTCCCGTGTCACCCTGGCTGCCTGTGCTGCTGCCCTGCCAGCCTAGCACTCTGAGGAGCTGATCCTGGACACTCTGCAGGAGGACCTCACTCATCCCTGAGAAAGACAGGCAGCTGAAATGCAGATGCCCTTTGAAATGTAGGATCAAATGTGTTTCTGAGCATTTATATGAAAATACTTCATTCTGTTTCCAATTAAACATACACACAGGGAGTTTTGCTAGTTTTTTTTTAATAAAGCCAACTCATATTTCTGGAAAAGTCAAGCAAAAGTTTTCTTCATTTATAAAATGCCAGCTAATTAGAGACAGAGAACAGGAAAGAGCTTTTAGCTTATATGGATTATACCACATAGAGTTACTGTGAGAAAAGGGGAGTTGGTGCCTGTGGAAGAGTAGGTTTAATAAAATGAAAGATGATAAGGCCATTAGTTTCTGTGGGACAGCAAAAGTAAAAAGTATCTATTTTCCAGAGACATCCAGGACACAAAAGTGGGAATAACAGAGAGTAAATGTACATTGTGATCTGCACACAGTTCCCTAGAGGAACAGAACATCTGAAATTTTGATGAGACATTCCCTACCATTCAGGCTTCATGCCATCAGGGACAGTGTTCATAAACCCCAAGTATTGCTACCAGAAACACCTTTGATTTTTGTTCCTAGCTTTCTGCAAATACAGCAGTGATTTCAGAAAAACATAAAAACAAAAACCTCAAACTAAGCATGTGATCTGGTTCAACTAAACTTATTTTAATACTTCACAGACATAGGATTTTCCACTGCGATCTGCCTGGAGGAGGTTGCTTTCATCCGATGCAATGATTTGCATCATGGTTTGGCAAGACACTGTTCATCAGGAGCCAAGCAACCTGTTTTCTGGTAGCAGCTTTTGTAGTTCTGACCACTGCACTCAGTGAAGACAGTTTGGTGAGCCAGCTTGCTGAGGGTGTTGGCCAAAACAGC